AGTTTCGTCTATTTTGTTTAGCTTGAATTGATTTGGCTTGAGTTGGGTTAGTTCTATTTAGGCTCCTCATTATAAATGGTGTAAAATAAGCCAACATAAATAACGTATAATCCCAGCTTATTCTGTTGTTAATTAATCTCATGTTTCGTCCAAACTAAAATTGGTGTTAAATAATTCAATTTAATTCTGGTCTGATCAATCAAATGCTCCACAAGAGTTTTCATTTTAACCCTTCCAAAAAAAAAAAAAAAAAAAGGGGTTTCGATTCATAAATGTTGCATGGTTGCTTAAAGACGTAACGGGTTATTTGGTGCAACTTATTTATTTGTTTGGTTGGTTATTTTGGTGCAAATTTAAGATAATTTGGGTTTCATTAGGTGTCTATAAAATTGTTGAGCTTGGACTATCAAATTTGGCCATTATTCCTATCATCTTATTAGAATTACGTTTGTGTTAAGGTTATAATGTAAAGCTCGTACCAAATGATGTCACTTGGTTTACCCTAAAGGTTCCATCGTCAATTAAAAAAATAGTATAAAATTCAAAGATATTTATTTTTGTCAAGAAAGGATACCAAGGCACACAATCCGGACCTTTGAAATTTGATCCAATAACTAAAGTTATTATAATTTTTAAAGTGGACTCTTATTTGTAACCGTTACATCAAATTTCAAAGATCCGGATTATGTGCCTTGATGGACTTGGTGGGAACAATCCATTGTCATTGTTTAAGAGGTTATGGGATGTTGATGTTTTAATAGAAAAAATTGGAGTTAAACTTGAAAACAGATTTAGGAAATATTCGACCTTTAGGGATTTTATATTTGGTGAGAGTATCCCATGTTGTAAGTAGAAGTGTGGCCTAAATAAGTTGCTTGCTATTCATTGCCAATTAGTTTTGCATTAGTTGTTTATATTCTAACATATATAGTGTTATAGTAAACTATTCACGTGTCAGATTTAACAGTTATACGTGCTTACACGTTATTCTCAATATAAATTGAACACGTGTTAATCTAAAGTAACACCACACGTTAAGGGTGTGTTTGAATCTCTCTAAAATTCTAACCACCACGAGTGGTTTAATGATTGGGGACAAATTCAGGGTCTGTATTTCACACAGTACGTCATGTGTTTGAATACTGACGATAATGAATCATACGATGGTGGTCAGGGGAGGCTGAAATGCCTCTGTGAGTTTTCTCGGCCCCTAAAAAAATGGACTGCCATGACAAAGTCACCAGCTGGTCTTAAAAAAAAATAAAAAAAAAAAAAAAAAACCTCTCTAAAATTCTGAAAGCCAAACAACACGTCCTGAGTTTGAATACTAATGATAATGAATCATACAATGGTAGTCAGGGAGGCTGAAATGCCTCTGTGAGTTTTCTCGGCCCCAAAAAAATGGACTGCCATAACAAAGTCACCAGGGTCTTAAAAATAAAAAAATAAAAATTAAAATAAAAATAAAACCTCTCTAAAATTCTGAAAGCCAAATTCTAGATCCTTTATTTAATATGTTGCGTCATTACCCCAACTTACTCATATCATCTACCTATTTTAAAAGAACCCAGATCCTCTCCAGATATTAAAAAACTGAGTCTAAGGATCAAATGATCTGGACTGTTGAAATTTGATTTAACGGCTACAAACAAAGGGCCCCTCTAAAAGTTATAATAATTGTAGCTGTTGAATCAAATTTCAATAGCCCGAATCCTTTGATCCCTAAGCTCAGATTTTTTAGATCCGGAAAGGATCTGGTTCATTTTAAAACTGACAATAAGAATAAAAAAAATGATGAATCACATTAGTCACTATAGGTGGTAGTACTGGTATGATTCATATTTAGAAGTTCATGACAATATATGATCATGGTCCCCAAAGTTTATTTTATTTTATTTAATGTCCTTTAAAGTAGTTTCATATGGCGTAGATTTCAAATATAGTCCTTTTCCAAAATGGTGGGTGAAGTGAGCAAACGACCATGGAAGAACAAAGAATGAACCTTGAGTGGCCAAATAGTTATTAACATTGTAAAGAAATAAAACTTTAGTATCTTTTTGTTATCAGTTTTGTGATATCACTTTTTATTTATAAGCGTACGTTTTCATATTTGATTCATTTGATTGATAACTTTGAACATAATTGTTATGACTTAACATATTATGTAATTAGCTCAAATCTCTCATAACTTAGTGTAAAAGATTATTGTTAAAAAGAATGTATCAATAAAAAACTTATGACTCTAGTAATTAAAAACATTTTATCTTTGCAACTGAGTTACGTGATCGATTCCTCTTGGCTCGATAACCTCGTAAAATAAAATAAAAAACACCATACTTGTAATTTTGCCTCCTTGTAAGTATTTTGACACAAATTTGGGGATCCCGACATTACTCTTTGTTTACGCATTGGGTGCTCTCCTCCATCTTTTGAGAATCCAATGCCTTGACAGTAAAATTTTCATGATTCGTTTGCATGACACGTATACTCGACAAGTAATGAAAGATTTGGCGGCAAAATATAACAGGAGAATCCTCGCCGGATCCTCTTTGTGATGATCTTAGAGATTTTCCAATCACATTCGTTCATCGTATATCGTGCAGTCAGAAATCATTGTAAATTTTTTTATTTAAAATTAAATATAAATAGTACTTGACAAAAAATGATCGCATGATGTATAATGAACGGATGTAATTAGAGGATTTCCACGATCCTCACAAAAAGGATCCGGCAAAGATCCTCACTTCTTTATTCAATATGATATGTACGAGGGGAGTGGTGATCCAGAGGAAGTATCGGAGTCCTGCCCATAATATAACTTTGACAACTACAAATTTCATGGAAACGTTCGCCACGATTTTGATGTTTGTTTCGATGATTGACCACCACCATAGGATCTTTTGTTTGGGAAATGTTTACATCTCAAGAGTATTCCCTTGGTGATGAAGGTTGAGTGAACTTGTCACAAGAAGACAGAGACGGAGTCAAAATTTTATCAAAGTAGCCAAGTCAGAATTTCTAAACCTAAAATTTATTGCCGTTTAATTTAACTTTTTTAACTCCTAGCTCCGTTTTCCACCCAAAAAAAAAAAAAAAAAAAAAAAAAAAAAAAAAAAACCATGAAACCGTTATGAAAGAAATTTAGGCAGAGACTTCCTTACCACATCATTCATACGTTCAAAATAGAAATAGAACCACCTTGCAAATGAGTCCTCCAAAACAAATTCATGTTGATTGTCAAACTCAGTTGTAGAGAGTCCTCTTCTATATGTCTTGAGTTTACGAAAAAGATATGGTACAGAAGCACCTGTCTAATAATCCTTCGTTTTTATGGTGGTTAGATGTGACGAGCATCACAATGGGTAGCTTTCTCGTTGCATCATGAAATTGATAAAAATAAGATTGAAGAGTATGGAGGATAGCATTTGAAAGATTCTTATAATGGCATCATATATACTAGAAATCTAACTTTGTAAACTATTTAAACATAGAACCAACCAAATAAGACAAGTTATATGTCGTATTAGAGAAACAAAACAAAAGCAACTTGTCTTATAAACAACATTTTAGAATTCTAAATCACCTTTCCTTTCAACACATTTGAATAAAAAAGAACCTTATAATAATCCGTTAAAGTAATCCATACACTAAGCAGTTCCTTTTGAAATTCGTTAGGAAGATAAGGATCTATCACAATGATGTGCTTTCTGATGGAAAAAGGACTGGGAAATTGCAGCGTGACACCTAGCTTGTTGGAGGGCCCTATGTTTAGGGGATTTTTAAGAGTAGTGATACATGTACTTTTTTTTTTTTTTTTTATTTTTATTTTTTTAATTTTGATTGTCAAATTAAATGAATTAAAAAAATAATAATAATAATAATAAATTATGAGAAATACAAAATTTGTGTGAATAATACGATCCTTTCTCAAATGATAATGATGATTTACTTATTTTATTTGATTATTTGTTTGTAAAACAAAAATATCTTGTCCTTATTCTCGAAAAATTAAAAGAGGTTGTACTTAGTTTGGTCGCACGTGTTGGTTCTGGACAGTCGTCCGCCGAGGGTAAAAATTGGGGCAGTTTCTAGTTGATGCTACGGGTTGTGTCGAGCTGGATAGGGACCATCGTAGGCAGCTAAGCATCTTTTGTCAAGCATGTGTTAGGTAAGGGACGTTAGGGCTCAGAGGTAGGGGATTTGACTTTTATTCATCTTTTAATATTAGTCAATTGCAATAACAGTGAAGTCAGAGAACTCGTAGATTTATTTATAATTTTCAAGTAACAAATATAAGATATTGCTATTCACAAACTTATTTTTTCTTCTTACACGTTTTTAACATTTATTTTAGTTTCTCACACGTCTTTTAACATTTAATCGTCGAATTGAATAAATTTAATAAAATCGAAGGCCAAAAATTAAAGAGTAGTAAGAAGTGAAATGGGTGTAAATAGCACCATCGTAAATACATAGCCACTTACTGTCAATTCAAGACGTTAAACAAATTTGTTTATTCTCCTCCGTTCTTATCAGATGTAAAAGTAAGAGACCTTAAATTTATAATCACCAAATGACAAAAGAGAATGAGACTTACAAAGCTTCAAGTGTTTTTTCACTATAAAATGATGTCTTAAGAAGCTTATTCACGAAGAACCTTTTTACCACGTTTTTGCCACTTCCGTTTAACTTATGACGCTTCGAATTGATTGATTAAAAAACACACTTCCAAATTGAGTATTTTATTTACACACTCGACATGTGTGCGCCAAAAACTAAACTGAAAGTACTAAAATCCTACCCTTACGAAATTGAAATAGACAAAACTGTGGGCTCTAAAATAACACAGAGCCCAAGTTTAGTATTTTAAGAACCCAAACGCATCAAAAATATATGGGCCTGCATATAACCAAGAACTGCCAGATAACATTGTGTAATTTGTGAAGTGCTTTGACCATTTTTCGAATTTCTGCAACTATGTGGGTCCCAAGGAACATCAATTGGTTAATTTTATTCACGTTGTAAGATCTGGAGTGGAAGGTACAAAGTATAGAAAAGGGGAAAGAAAAAGAAGGTGAACAATGGGACATACCAAAAGCGATCCAACCACCTAATGTTGCAGTTATGGATTATGCCCCCAGCACATGGGAGGAGACATCCACTGCCTGTACAGATAGCAAAAGGCACAATAAATCAGCTGAGAAAGTGAGGAGAATCCAACTGTGAGTTGTCCGTGTGTAACTGACAAGCGTTGATTAGTTTACGCCTTGCAATGAGTCCCGATTTAATCCATGAATTTCAGTCAATCAAACAATGCGTGGACAACGGTGTTTAGAATATTTTTTATACAAGATGTAACAGTGTACCTTCAGATAATAATTATAGTGTTGCTGCATTTTCTCTTTCGCCTTCTTGCCCTCCTCAAGATCCTATCGGTCTCTTCCATTACCTCCTTAGCCATATCTACGCCTTTCCAGAGGAAACGAATATGATTACACTTACACTTTGAGCAGATCGATTGTATACATACATGCGCATACAAGTACAAATACAACATGCAAGAAGAGGTACAGTTTTTACCCTCTACTTTGAAAAAGTACCTGTTTCCTTCTCACCAAACAAGCAGGAAAAAGCTTCATCAATCTCCTCATCTGATTCAATGATAACTCGGCATTCTCTTTCCTGCATCATGAATTGTCATCTGTTACGGGCCACAGAACTAGATATGGCAACTAAACTGTAACTTATATCCCAAATGAGCAATCAAACAGGTTTTTAAGCAGCATATATGATAAAAGGGCAACTTTGCTTCTAGTGCATTAGTAGAATGAATCAAACACACACCTATGATATTAAGTCAATCACCTTAACGCCAGAAACATATCTAAATCAGATAAAATATTCTATATAATCAGCACAAAAGACAGGTAAAGCGAGAAACAAAACTACGGGCTACCTGTTGAATGGAAGTAAATCTGCTAGGCTTTTGTGCTTTCCGCAACCCATTATCACTCACAGTGGATCTTTTTACCTTTACAGACTTCCAGCCTCCTGTTTCAATCTTTGGAACTACAACTGCTTGTACACCAACCTTCGGAGGCACAGCTGAACTGGAATCAAGACGAGGCTTTTTAAATTTCCCAGAGGGCCAAACACTACAATGACACAATATACCCTGTTATGGTGCTACTGGTGATCAATGCACCTATATTTCAAAGAAACGGTATAAAGAACAGAATACTCTTTCGTATCAAATAAACAATTGAAATACACTTCCTCTCATACCCTTTATTAGGCTGTGGATTTCCTTGTGCAATGGCACAATAGGCAGCGCCCTGCAATTTCCAGATATAAAAAACTTCCCAGTAAGGTACCATAGTCCGTGCTTGCTTGACTAAGTTAATGTGGTGTAAATGGAAATGTAGGTCACCTTTGGTGGAACTATAGAGGGTGCTTCACATATTTGAATGGAGGTACTCTGATTCTGGCTGCAAGGAAATTTCTGCAAGCAAACAAAGATGAGAAAAAAAGGATTTAATAATCTCCTAGGCATCGAAAGTTTTATAACCGAAAGTTCAATGGGTCGATAGAAAATGTCTGGAAACCCAGATCAGCATTTCTTGCGTCAGAAAGAAAAAAAAAAGTTGCAATTTATTAAAGAGTTGCTCAATGTTATCTCAATGAAAATGTGATATTTCAAAATTGATGATCTCAAAGCCTTAAATGTTTGCATGTGTCACAGAGCTGTCCATTGTACATCATACAGACCTGCATTTCCTTGACAAAGGATTCGTGCAGCTTGTTTTGTGATTTCAGTAAAGTTGCTTCAGTGACTCCTATCTTTTCTGGTAAGGCTGAAAGCGCCAAGGAAATCTCCTGTAATTTGTCTTGATAGGTAATTTTGCTCACTTCTTCAGAAATAGACTTGATGCCTCCGTCAAGGCTAGTTTTGAAATCTTCTTGCCCCTTAATCTGCTTCACCACAAATCAGTTTGGTTAGAAAGTCCAGAACCATGGACGCATGAAGGAACTAAGCAGAGACTTTATGTGGGTGCTATTACCATTAACTGCAATAAGTGATCCTGAGCCATCAACTTCTGCCGCATTACTTCCACTGAAATAAAATTGAAATGGAAAATAATATTCAAATTAATTATGATCTGAAACTTTTGACAATGTGTGCAGTCGAGATCAGTTTTTCTTCCCCTTAACAAGTAATGTATAAGTCCTATCGGTCAGAATGAAGTTCTTTATTTAAAAATGGTGGTAAGTTAGAATAATTTAACACTTGGATTAATGAGAAAATGGAACAAACAAGTTAAATTTATGCTTAGTAATTCAACTTCAAAGCCACTCCTATATATTCAGTAGTATGTAGAGAAATAGATTACTCACTCTCCATAGAAACATCCTTCATCCCTTTGTTTACTTGCATGACATCACTCTGGACAGAATCCAAGATCATTCCGAACTTATTTAATGAAGTTTCCATCACTCCAATCCGGTGTTCAAATTCCTCACTATTCAGACCTGCTCAGGCATGTAATACATTAGGTTTCCAATTAATAGGCACGGTATACATAAAGAGCAAGAATTTAATTGGCCTGCTATGCCTACCCAGTTACAAATTAATCTTAACAACCTTCCGTAGTACTTAACAAAAAAGACATTACCAATATACTTTAAAGCCTTTCTGGACACTATATATTCCTGTCCAACTTTGGATAAAACTTACATTCACGATCTAAAACTGAAGCGGAACTCCACTTGCGCATGAGGTTGGTGGATGATCTTGAGATCTGCACTTGACTCTCATCACGTGCATGACTACTTAGGGGTAAGTAAGCAACTTTCTTAGCAGAATTCGCTCGTTCTTGAGAACCAAACCTCTGCAGAGATTATAAAAACAGAAACAAAACCTTGAATGAGAACGAATTCTAATAATCAATCCAACAAAGTTCTGAGTAAAAGAAATGACAATGAATGCTATCTACTTCTTTGACTTGTCTGTTCATCAAAATAAAATGACGAAGACACAAATTAAGCTTTCTTTTTCTCCACTTCAATAACAAGCATATAAGAGCTTAACACTTGGCTCGAAGCTGAAACGAGATTTAACCTGATCGTTTGTGAGAATGTCACATTGGGAGTTCTGAGACAGTTGAGAAAACATGTTATGCTGAGATGAGAGTCCCTGAGAGTATGACTGGTCTGATGGTTGAGATCGAAGCTGTGATGCTTGTCCATTTGGTACAGCATTTGGTCTCCTACATAACAATTTAAAAGAAAATATATATTAGAATATCGAAAACAAGAGATTTCAGGAAAATCCACGGTATTAGCCTAATCACAGTTAATACTTGAAATCATATTTGATTTGTTACGCTTTTGCAAGAACTTCACATAAACAGCCGCAAGTTGAAAAGAACAAGAAACAAAGAAACAGAAGCAAATTTGAACAATCAAATTCCCATAGGCTAGTTGCTGTGAGTATCATGGAAAGAAAATGAAATGCTAAGACTTCCTTTTCCTATCAGAAAGTGAAATCGGTACCTACAATGAGTTACAAAACTCTTACTGAAACAAAATCTGTGAATCCAATCATTTTAATCTCTTTTTTTATGTTTTCTCAGAGATCGAACAGAACCAATTAGAGGCAGAAGCGATTGAGATCCATGTGCTTCACAGGTCAAAAATTTATTTCCCTAGGCGTACTTCCATACAAATCAAACGAAAGATACTGTGAATTTCAAATCGAACCTGAAATTCATAAGAATAAAATCAAATTCGAGCTCATAGTTTACTCAAATAAGTGAAAATCTGAGATGATAAGACGCTTCAGATTCAAAACTCGATTTTCTCAGCATTTTCCCTATATTCTCGCGAGCCAAACATAACTCTTGTGCATGAAAGGATGCAGAACTGAGATCGAACCTAGATAATTTGTCATCTAAATACAAGAAGTAGAAAGAAAAAAATCAAATAACAAGCTAGATTAAGTGAAAACTTCCTGAAACAGTGAAATTAGAGATTTCAACAACTTCGACGTTTTTGTGAATCATTTTCCTGCGTTTTCTCGAGAACCAAACAGCACATTGCGATTGAATAATGAAAATTCAGAAAGAAATTACCGAACCTTGTGTGAGGAGGAAGGACGGAGATGGAGCTGAGATCGCAGACCTTGTTGATCTTCAACTTCATTTGCTCGAATCAGTACGACTTTGAGGTCGTTTGGGCTCTACGGAAAATGCGGAGTGGAAAACTACGAGATTAGAAGAGAGATCGACCTTTGATTTTAAAAAAGTACTCTAGATATCCTTTATATATGAAGCCTGGCGGGAAAGGGGTTTTAGAATTGCTTAGATTGGTTTAATGGGCCGGACTATAGTAAACAATTTTGTTAGTGAGGCCCATTATTCATCCAATATTTTGGGCTTATGAGTTTGGAAGCCTTTTAAGTGTAAGCGGGGGAGACTGGCGCATAAGATGCTTGTATTGCAAGTTTCCAAATCGGAACCATTGATTATGTTGGTTCTAGTCTCTGAATATGTAATTCAAAATTTTAATTCACAAGTGAAATTTAGGGCATGAGTAGCACTTGATCCCTTTTGAGCCCTCCAATTCCATGCTTGAACTCCCCCTAGATTCACAATTGAATTTTGAAATATCACTCGAGACCTACATCGAGTAGCAGTTGAATGCTCTCGATGAGTGCTTGAACACCTCCTAGATTCATAAGTTAATTTTGAAACGTTATCACTCCTGACCCACCTCAAGTAGCAGTTGAGTTCTCTCGATACTCGTAAAATTCTTCAACATGTTCAAATGTGATTGATATTTAAAATTTTCTAATTCACAATTTAGTGAGGTAAATGTTTATCCGACAATAGAACATTTTGACAATTTATTATGTGTGAGTTTTTCATTTTCTTTGGGGCCTCAATTTCATTACAGCATTGCAGTGAATCATAAGCAAGGGATGAGACAATGTCAAAATCCATCGTAGTAGATTCCTCACTCCTTCAGGGCATCTTTGGTGGGTTGACATGATTGGTCATGGCCAATTAAATTGAATTTGTAATCCAACTGTGAGACTATGATTTTTGAGGGCCGAAGTGAGGTTGATCAAAATAGTTACTGATGAGTCAATATTATATTATATATTACCCTAATTTTAGTTTATTTTGGTTATTATTTTGAAAGAATTTTGATACTTTAATTTATATTCTTAATGTAAGACTTTCGACTTCCTCTCAAGCATAAAGTAACCAAACATACGAATTTTGGAGTGATTCTAATTGGAGGATGTTCATGAGTCTTTCAAGATGATTGTATCAAAGTTTCAGATTTTTCTATTTAGCCGTTTGACCGTGGCAATGAAATAAAGGCCCAACGCGCAGCTTTCCCAGATTAACGTTTTTGGACGTTTTGGATATTTTGGAGGTCAAGATGACATATTTTGAGGAAGATTTTCCTTTTGAGGATTTGTAGGGGATGACTTAAGCTTTCAAAAGAGACCTTTTGAGACCAAATCGGAGTTGATTTGGTCAGTCAAAAGTCTGATTTTATGAGAAATCCGAATTTTAGTTTAAATAGAAAACCTTTTATTTTCTTTTTTATAATTTATTATGTTTCCTAGTTTTATTCTAAGACATTTTCTAGGTAGGGTTTTATTTTGTAATAGTATAAATAAGGCTATTTAGCCATTAGAGAGGGAGAAGGGGAGGAGAACACACGCACTACTTTAGAGAGCTTTTGAAGTTTATTTTCAAGGTGTTTTTTTTCCTTGTTTTTAATAATATTTTGTTTTATGATTGTTCATAACTAATTTCTTTTAATAGGGCAAGGCCATGAGCCTTTACAAGAATATGTAGTTTCTTTTCAATTTACTTATGATATTATGCATGCATGTTTTGAATTATTAATCATCATTTTAAACTATCTAAATGTCTTAGTGATTCGCGACCATTATGATATTTAAAAAGTAATTTGATGCAATTTTGGGTCGGAAGGTTCCTTGAAATTGGCACTAGCTTTTTGTGAGAATATGTAGTTTCTTTCCAATTTACTTATGATATTATGCATGCATGTTTTGAATTATTAATCACCATTTTAAACTATCTAAGTGTCTTAGTGATTTGCGACCATTATGATATTTAAAAAGTAATTTGATGCAATTTTGGGTCGGAAGGTTCCTTGAAATTAGCACTAGCTTATTGTGGTTATCTACACTAAAGGGGAGGAGGGTGGGGCTTAGCCTCACAATAGGCTAACAATAATGCGGTTCAAATTCGCCTTTGGCGAGAATTGAACCTAAGAATGTGGTTCAATTCTCGCCAAAGAATGTGGTTCAAATTAGCCTTTGGCGAAAATTGAACCTAAGATTTCTTAGAAGAGGAATATCACTAAACCGTAGTACTAAGTGGCATAAAAAGGTTGGTTAAGACGAAACAAACATAATACTCAATCCATTTTCTATGCATTTATTATCCTCAATTGTTAATGCTCTAATTACTAATTAGTATATTAATTTCATATATTAAATCCATTTTCAAAGCGTTTGTATAACACTTAAAACGATTTAGTTTTGAACATATACATTGTATCATCAACACAGAAAAATGTGGACTCGGTTGAGACATGGGCTGGGCAGTTTCAAGCATGCTAGAATTTCATAGGGGTGTATATATATTTACAGGGATAGGTTGAAGGGACAAATAATTTGACAAATATATTTACACTCCTTTTTAGTCATTAGATTTTATAACACTTACAATGGTCTTGATTAAGAGTAATGTTGAAAATTTTAAACGTTAAGTGACATGGATGACAACATGGATTATAATTAATAAATAAACAGTGGGTTATATATTATGAATAAGAATCAACTAATAGATTTAAACTCAAAAAAAAAAAAAAAATCAAAACAACGTTGAAATCCAAGAATAGTGACTGGCCACGAACGTAAGAAGGAGAGGAGAGAATCCATCGTCTTCACTCCATGTTGATTTGATTCAATTGATATAAAAATAAGAATCACACAAAGCGTATCAAGCTATCATTCGATCTTTTGAATCATTTTGTTAGGTAAACAAAACTAAACCCGAAACCCTAATTCTTTTTTTCTGATATCTTTGAGTGATAAATTAGATTGTAGAAAACGATTTTTTCCCTCATTGGCCAAGCGTAAGAACAATCTGAACGGGAAAACATGTCCCCCGATAAATGGTAATAACGCATGGGCTTGTAGAGTAAAGAGATCAGGAAGGGTTTTTTTTTTTTTTTTTTTTTTTTTTTACCAAAGATCAGGAAAAAAAAGACCAGTTGAAGATCCATATGTGGCAAAGCAATGGAGGCCTCTTACCCTCCCCTTAAATTTGAAGTTCGAACGCTTACGGTTCTTTCTTATTTTTTTTCTTCCAGTTTTTATTATTTTTAGTTTTATTTATTATTTATATTATTAATTATAATCCACGTCATTTAATGTTCAAAATCCTTCACATCACTCTTAATCAAGACCCTTGGATATTATAAAATCTAATAGCTAAAAAGAAGTATAAAAATATTTGTCCCTCGATCTTATCCCATATTTATATAGTATATATATGCAATTATATCTGCTGATTAAAATTTTGCGAAATATCAAAACATATGTTTTAGCAAAAAATTAAGATAATCAATATTAAATTCATTTAACCCACTGAAAATGAGAATCAAATTTGGGTGTAGAAGAAGGAGCTCACTACTATTATCAATTTGGCTAGGTTGATGTCTGCGGGTATCATAGCATGTTGGTATTACTATTGGTATAATGGTATAAGAAAATTGTTTTCACATATTATTGATGAATTTAGGGTTTTTTTTTTTAATCAACCATATACTTACACTAAAGAGTAAGAAAAAAAAATGATCGAACTTGTTATTTACGAGATTTTAACGTAAGCTTTATTTGTTAATCAAGATACATACAAGTGGAATCAATCTGTGTGGTAGCAAAAATCCGCCGTCTTCAATCTTGACGAATTTGTACCTACAAAACAATCAACCTTTTTAATCAAAGACCAAAGCCTTACACGCCCAAGAATTTGGGCAATGGGTCTCTATACCTAAGTTAGTTTCTCTAAGAACAGTGAGTGTTTTAATTAGGAGATAATATCTTAGGATAATGAGGTAAGTATCCTTGATTGATGGTGATGAGGATTCCTTACTTGTTTGAGTTGTTCTTTAATCACGAATGTATTAAATATAAGATTTGGTGATTAATCCTATCTTTAATGTCTTTGACTTTTCCATGCCACGAGTAGGAGAATCTTGAGCAGTCGTAGTCAGCTGCTTGAATCTTCAGGATGTTGAGCTGGGCATTGGAGTATTTGAGAACCATGCCCATTCAATGAGGACAATCCTGTCTTTCTTGATATAAAATCCACGCGTCGCCTCCAGAATTTTTGAAAAATATTTTTGGCTCCTTCTCTGTGCTACTAGCTTACTACTTTTTCTTTTAAATTCTTCAGTATGCAACCCAACAAGATCCTCTCCGGATCCTTTTGGTGAGGATAGTGGAGATCCATGAATCGTGTTCCTTCATCATATATCGTGCGGTCAGTTTTTGTCAAGTATTATTTATGTTTATTTTTAAATAAAAATATTTAAAATAATTTATGACCTCAAAATGTAGAATAAACAGACACGATTCATGAATCCTCCGGATCCTCACAACCGGATCCGGACTCGTATGTAACTCTCTCTATGTGCATATGGGCATGGTGATGGACCAACTGTACTTTATGTGGATTATGCACTCGTTCTGGAATCTGCACATACTTTCTGCAACATCCAATATCTTATAATTTTAATGATTTATAACTATAATTTATATTTCACAAACCACGGTTTGTTTATGTTTAGTTTATCCTTAAATCAGTTTTATTTATTTATTTATTTATATTTTTTATCAACCTTTACTCTAAGCTTAATGATGGTGACGAATTAAGGTAATTAATTAATTAAGTTTCATCACCAGACGAATTGATCAACAAATGGTAATGCTTACGTCCCTTTCTTTGGCTATTTATGTATATATATTTTTTTACTTTTCTCTCTTTACTTTTGCCTTCATGAGTCAGTTTATCACCAATTAGTCAACTTGTACAGGAATCCAAACCCTTATTGGAAGATATTTTGGTCGATTAACTCTGATTAAAGAGTAAATCATATATCTAAGATTTTTTCCGTTAGCGGGGCACCGTGTCTTTCATCTCAAAGACTTCACCTAAGTCAC